TACTCAAAAAGTTTGGCATACAATATTGACTTTTAAATTTTTACTAAATTTTAAATATTGACTAATAATTATTGAATTAAAATGTTTAAATGTTGATAGGTACTCTTAAAGTAACTAGGTATTGATCAAACCATTGAATTATATTATAATATTGAATTTAAATTATTAAATCTTTTTTTGTAAAGAAATACTTTAGCCGGTAAATCTTCGGTTTCATGGTTTTTCAGATTCATCGATTACCCATTCGCCGATATATTCGTTCGCCGATACGTCTATTCGCCGATGTATCCGTTCGCCAAAATACCCATCCCCCGAAAATAATTCGCCTTAACGAATTTCGCCAAAATAACCAGTTACCTATGAAACGCACAAATAATGATGCTTTCTATCGGTGAAAAATATTAGAAATAGGTTCAGTAGATTCAGGAATTACCCTACATTCTCACAATCTTTAACTCTTTATAATAATAAGTGTAGATTCAATATATTTTTTGGTGGACAGACAACGCTACTATTGTAATTTTAGTACGGTCATCCTTTTACCCACGATACTTTTTATAGTCAATAGGTATGAATTGATTATTTGATAAATTTAATGTTGTTATCTACTTCCTATAYAGAAAATATTAAATTGGAAATATTTACAATTTAACTTATTATACAGGACTATTAAAATGTAATAAAAATAAAATTTAGTTAAAAAATTGGTTAAATTATCTATTTTATTTTTCTTAAGATAAAACCACTAATTCATTAGGAATTAACACTCTTTATTCACTGAATAATAGTATAGGCTATTAATATTATTATTTAATTTATAATACGCTATTCAAAGTAAGAAACACAGTCGGCAGCAACCAGTTTTCGTTTCCGACGATCAAATAATGCCCATTGCCCATGGTCCGTACATGTAGTGAAACCACACTCATGCGCAGAAGTTGGCCCGTGACAGTGTTTCTCATTTTGAATAGAATATATTTTAGGTATTGATAATAATTTGACTACTGAAAATTGGTTATTTTTATATTATGTTGTTACAAGTGTCTAAATTGTGGATTTTGTTGATCCATTACCTGTGACGTCATCCGATGGCTATGATGAACTACACGATTTATAAAAATAGAGGGTGTAATCAAACTAATTTAATTTATCGTTTATTGTAGTATAATCACCTAACCGTTACAGCGAACTCTGAACGCATGGATCTTCGCAGGAAAATTTTTTTGTGTCCGTATATTATATTGCCTATATTTAGCCCCTTTTTTTGCAGCTATCAAAATGTGAAAACATCATTTTCATTATAAATTATAATACTATATTTTATT